ATGCAGCCCTAAACCGCAACTTCCCAAAACCCAAAACCCCTAAACCCTAAACACTAAGGTCCTTTCTAATTATGGTAGAAGCCCTAAAGTTGGAAGCCCAATAGCCTCAATCCTTAAGCGCACTGTGTAGGGAATCCCAGCACTATTCGCAGTTTTTGCGGTTTCCAAGTTTTGGGGTTTACTATATCGGGTGCTTCTGCGACAAACTCCGTCACATCTCGGAAGCCTTCCCTGAAGAGATCTCCTTTCCCCTCCAGGTTTCGCCCTGGAGGTGGGTTGGGATATTTTGTGGGGCCTGAATAGATAGAATGGGGTTTTGGGGTATATTAAACCTGTAGCTGTAATAAAAGAACTCCCACAGGGTAATTACTAAGGTCCGTATCTTATTCTGGTTTTGGGCTCCACTAGGTTTTATTATGGGGGTTCTGCAGCCCGGATTTCGCTCTTTGGTCTTGGGGCTCCAGGCAAAGGGGGCTCCTAGCCCAGGGTCTAAGCCCTAAACCCTAAACCCCTAAACCCTACGCCCTAGACCCTAAACCCTAAACCATAGAGTTTTTTTAACCAAACTGCAGAACTAGAATGGAAACCATAGGTCGACCCTAAAAGCCCTTATTTTGGGACCCTTTCCGGGTTTAGGGGGCTTCGCGAGTCTTTCTTGGAGTGTATTTTATGAAACCCTTCCTTAAACCTCTGCACCCTAAACCTCGAAGTCAGTTTAGCTCACCACCCCGTCAGTTCATCTTCGTTCGTGCGGCTAGGGATACGTGGAAGAGGTTTCGTTCAAAGGCTGTGCAGTGTTACCACCACTTCTGTGCATTCCGGACTTGTCGGAAGAGTTTACGAGGCCGAGGGGGTAGACTTGACAAGCGAACCTTGATGTCATGCGCCCTGAGTGAGACACTCTGAGTAGTTCCGCATCGCTAATACACAATTCCTTACAGTGCGCTCTATTGTAATTATACGGGATCATATACCCCAGAACCTTATTGTAATTACTAAGGCACCTATACTAAACCTGTCAAAGGGTTAAGTGTAAACCGAATATACTAGAACCTCTTCAAAAGAAAGCCTATTCCAATCATTAAGGCTCCAAGGTTGTTGCTGCAAATTGCAACTTCGTAAACCCTAGCGCACCCAGAATCTCCGGCATTTCTGGACTGAGGAGTTCAAGTAAAGATGGTAAGCTAAGAGGGGCCTAAACCCTAAACCCTAAGAATGGGGCCCCCAGAGCCACACTAAGGATGGTCTTTTGGGGCTTAAGTCCATAAGGGGTACAGAAGCACCCTCTGGGGAAGGATTTCCTGGTGGAGGGTTCTAGGGTTTAGGGTTGGTGAATCTGCAATCTGTTCGGGTTTTCTGACATCAGATTTCCAAAATCCCGCGGCGACTGTTGAGGATGCCTGCGTTCGCCCCCACCGGCCCGTCTCTGCCCAAAGCAGTAGAGCTCGATACCGTAACCCACGGGCATCGCCAATGACCCGGCGATGTATCAGATGAGAGGAGCACTTAGGTCTGCCACTTGGAGGCAAGTCTTGTGAGGTACTTCAGGCCCCTCATGGGTAGTTATAACCCTTCATAGGTCACAAACTATAGGCCAGAGCATGTTATAACTAGAGTTATCCTACTTGTAACCCTACCTTAAAGTACCAAACCCCATTTTTCGTAGGTTCTTATTATAAACCCTAATATGGAATTTATAGGGACCCTACAAAAAAGAGTAGGTTCTGGTAGGTTAAGGGTACTTGTATAACTGCCCCATGGGCCTCCACCTACCCATAGGCCCCATAGTAGTTCCTTCTTGGGGTTCATATTTAGAATCCTAAACCCTAAACCCTAAACCCTAAACCGTATCAGGTAATCCCAAAAAGGAACTACTATGGGGCCTATGGGTAGAGGAAGCCCCAGCTTGAGCGACGAGCTGAAGGTTCTCCATGGTTTTGGAGTTCGGGTTCGCGGCTTTAGGGTTTAGGGTTCGCGGTTTAGGGTTTAGGGTTTAAGGTTTAGGGTTTAGGGTTCGCGGTTTTAGGGTAGTTTAGGGTTTGGGGTTTTAAGGTGTGTAGACGGTGTGCGCGCGGTGGGTGCGCCTTTTACTTTAGGAATAGGGGCGCACCCACAAGTCGCGCGCTTGCGTCAGCATGTAGTCCCGCCAAAACCACCCCTACTATTCTCAATGAGGGTTTAGGGTTCACCCCCCAACCCCCCTCAAGGGGGGCTTTCCTGCTCTCTTCTTCCCTTCGCAGCTTAGCATAAAATGCGCGTTTGACAGCAAACACAGCTGCGATGGATTAGTGTGGGGTTGTGGGTCCTCGCGGCCTGTGCCGGCCGCTCGACGAAAAGCATGGGTTCCCAACCAACAATTCGCCTCTCGCACCGGGCAGGGCAGGGCAATAGTGGCGGTGGCAGGGCAAGGAGGGGCAGGGCATCTGTTAGGCTGGGGCCCGCGACGCTCTTGGGGGTACCCCAGACCCCCAAAAACTGCCAAACCCCGGACCCGCCTGGGGGTACCCCCCCAGACCCCCTTCAGGCCAGACCCAAAAAGCACCAATGAATTCACTGGGTTTGGGATCCTCATTATAACGGGCTGACGTCCGTATTGTGCCGAGTCATTTCCGTCCCCGTATATGGGGAGATCTCGTCTTTTGGGTCGGCAGCTCCAGCGTACTTTGACTTTGGCCGCATGCTCAGCGGTGTACAGGGGTGGGATCCAGCCGAGCCCCTGCCGGCTTTACCCTCCCTCACCGTGCTGACGGGACGCTCGGCCGGGGGCCTCGGTCGGAGCCTCGAGCGCCCATGCAAATGGTCAGCGGCGCTCTCGGCAGTTTAGGGTTCGCGGCTTTCGGGTTTAGGGTTCGCGGCTTTAGGGTTTAGGGTTCGCGGCTTTAGGGTTTAGGGTTCACACCTTTAGGGTTTAGGGTTCGCTGCGTTAGGGTTTAGGGTTTAGGGTTTATAGGCTTCGCGATTTAGGGTTTAGGGTTTGAGCTTCGCGATTTAGGGTTTTGGGTTCAGGGTTTCATTAGGGCCGAGGCTTCGCAGTTTACGGTTTGGGGGTAGTTGTGCGTGGCTACACTGATTCTGAAGGGTTGAATAGCCAGTAGGACCGAATGAAGCCTAAACTCACGGAATCATTGGCCACGCAGCCTGCATTAGGACCATTCAGGCCCCTCGGCTTGGGTGTAAGATTTCGAAGGCAGCCGAAAGGGTCCAAGTATGCTACGATCATCGGTTTAGGGTTTAGGGTTTTAGGGTTTAGGGTTTCGGGTTTAAGGGATCATGGACTTCCATACTGGAAGTAGATATCTTCTCTTTAGGAGAGACTTAGCCTCGTCCGACGGAACCCCAACCCCGGCCCCAAAACTCGAAGCGCTCGAACCAACAGACCCAGTTTAGGGTTGAGGGTTTCGGGTTTTACGGGTTTTAGGGGTTGAGGGTTGAGGGTTTAGGGTTTTAGGGTTTTAGGGGTTTAGGGGTTTAGGGTTTAGGGTTGAGGGTTTAAGGGTTTTAGGGGTTTAGGGTTGAGGGTTGAGGGTTTAGGTAGAGCCAAAGCCAAAGCCCTGAATTTCCAAGACCTAAACCTCCACCCAAACCCACCAACCCTAAACCCTAAACCCTGAACCCATAACCCCTCCTAAACCGTCCTGGCAAGGCTTCTTTGTTTAGCCTCGTGTTCAGACTTGCAGCTGCCGGGCGAGAGAAATGTCAATGCCAGCCGCCGGGCTTGGAATTGGTTTAGGGTTTAGGGTTTAAGGTTTAGGGTTGAAGTGTAGCGTTTTAGGTTTAAGGTCTACTTGGACCCTAAATGCCCTACTTTTTTCAGGGCCTATATAAGGAATTCATAATAAGGAACCCTACCCATAAAACCTTCCTTTTCCGGGCTCCTCATGATGATTTCTTAATACAAGTCCTTAAAGTGGGAGGTTCTCTGGGGTCCAGGTAGCGTTTCAGGATGTTTAAAGGTTACGATTTCGGGTCTAAGGTCTCGGGGATTGAGGTTTTCAGGGGTTAATATGGGGCCTAAATAATTACCAGTAGTGTTTTTTTTTGGGGGGGGAGGTGTAGGCCCGATTCTAATTATTTATAGCCCCTATTCGAGATTCTTCAGGCTGGAGCTTAGCGCTGAAAGCCCGCAACACGCCGCGGAAGCCTTTGGAGAGTATGACAGCATAACTACGGCTGATGATCTAAATTCTGCATTGCCTTCAGGACCCTAAACTATGGGAGTTATGGTATATTCCTTGCTATACGTAATGCAGGAATTTCATCATCAACAGTATTATGGGGTGCCCTACTGATATAATATGCACACTACATCATAGACCCTGCAGATCCTATTAAGTCAGTCGGCAACAAGTCTCTAGGCCTCCGGTAACCCGCCGGGGGGGGGGGGGCGAGGGGTTGGGGGTAATCGCTGCGTCGTATGAATGACCTGCCTGAACCCTGAATCCTAAACCCTAAACCCTAGAAACCCTAAACCAAAACAAGTAAACAACAAAAAGCCTAAACCCTAAATTCTGAACCTGGATCTTTCCCTGCGTCTTGAACCTTACACCCCCGAAAGCCTGGCCCCTCAGGGCGCAGACCCCTGATTTGCAACCTCCTTTGATGCAATGGCGTACGCATCGTTGCAAGGCTCGTAAGTTGTTAGTAGCCAGGTGTCTACCGGAAGAGCTTGCGGCCGAAAGCCCTTTGACATTCTAAGCCCTCCCACCTTCGGTGCTTATCGTCCCAACTGAACCCCTAATGTTAAATGCGACACGAGAGTTCCGCAAGTTGCCGATGCTTAAGCTGGGAGGGGCGCGCTCAAGGATACAAGAGTTAAGGGTGTAGGGTTTAGGGTCAGGGTTTAGGGTTTAGGGTTAGGGTGCATAAATGAAGGGCACGACTACCGGAAGTAGAGGCCGCAACCCGTCTCTTTCGACAAATCGCAGCCTAAGGTAAGCAATGTGTAGGCATACACAGCACACGCTCGTATAACCCTGGCCAGCGAAGTTCTTAAATCCGAGGGACATCCACGATTGGAATGATCCTGAATTCCTCGCATGCAACATCTGGGGCGATCCTCATGTCGCTGGGCTTGGAAGTGTTCTGCTTAACGGTTGCAGGGCCCTAAACCCCAAAACCCTAAACCTAAAGTTTATTGTGTCTACAGGCTTTGAGGCAGGGTGTGTCGGGTTCGGCTTCTTGGGCTTTGGCCTTTGCCCACATGTGCTCGAATCTGACGCCCCGAAAGCTTGGTCGGTTTAGAGTTTATAGGGTTTAGGGTTTATCGCCCTGATTTTGTTGAACCCATGTACCCAAATGTGCGCAGGCACCGCAAAGGTCTGCAGCCCTAAACCCTAAACCCCTACAACGTAAACCCTAAACCCCAAACCCCTACAACATAAACCCTAAACCCTTTTCTACCCTAAACTCTATACCCTATAGGTCTGTAACCCGAAAGCCTACGGCTGTTAAGCCATGAAGATCCCTCAACTGGTTACCGCAGACCCCCGGCTGCTTAAGAGCACTTTGCCATGTTGCACAAGGCTTTGGGTTCAGGGTTTAGGGTCTAGAATCCTCAATCTAGGTTCCGGTCGCGATTTCGAGAAAGTTGAGAGTTTAGGGTGGGTTGTAAGAGGTTCTTGGACTTGCTGGGAGGGCGGGTGCTGTTTTATAAGGGTTTAGGACTTCGGGTTTGGGGTCTGGGGTTTGGGGTCTACCCTAAGGCTCACGGCTCATGGACCCGCATAGTGAAAGCCCAAACCTTAGCCCCCAAAGCCCAAACCTTCCCCTAGAAAGCCCATAACCGCAAAAAGAGCCTTAGGGTAGGGTTTAAGGTTTAGGATTTAGGGCTAAAGGCTTAGGGCATATCACCCTGAATGCTACCTCGAAAAATCCGCACCTGATTAAAATCCTGTGGAGGGTTTAGGGTTTGGGGTTTAGGGTTTTGATTTTGGTTTAGGGTTTAGGGTTTAGGGTTTAGGGTTTAGGGGCGGAGTGCTTTTGAGTCTGCGACATCATCCATAAAGTGGGATTCACATTGAAACCCCTCAGCCGAAACCCCAGACTCACTGGAGGTAACGGCAAGTTGGAGAAATCCTGCCGTTTACGATTTCCAAGGTGGGATCATTGAAAGCATTGTGACTGTCCAGTGCACGACATCTTTAGTTTGAGATCTACATGCCTTACTTACAAACCCTAAACCCTAAACCCTAAACCCTAAACCCTAAACCGTGGATTGCGCTCTTTGGGTCCACTGGGCATGTCAGTTTTCGGGGAGAGGACTTGGTGCCAACCTCTACGCATGAAGGGTTCGTTGCTGGGTGGAGGGTTGCAGCGGCTTACTCTGAGTGTTAAAGCCCTAAACCCAAAACTCCAGCTGCCTTTGGCCCAGGCGTCCCCGGCACGCGGCAGCCGGAACCCATCCACAAGGGGTGGGGCTAACGTGGGCTGGTTGGTTTTCTTTGCTTCGGTTCTGGTTTGTTCGTAGGCGTGCCTCGCCATGGACCCGCCTGCGACATGGGTAGATGAGTCTAGCAAGCCATGGTCCCCCGCGGTCCGGTGGAGCAGGATGTCAGCTATCTATGTGCAGGTCTACGCTGCTTCTGCGCATAAGGTGCGTTGTTGGTTGGTGGACCCAGCTTCATCAAAACAACTTGGACTTGGTAAAATCAAGATTCCGATTGTGACTGACATTCAGATCGTGCTCGAGGGTCGCTTTTTGTTCCAGCCAGAACATGGCAAAACTTACGCTGTCTTCGGAAGCCAGCCGCCGGTTTTGCATGACAACGAGTGGCATGTGCAAGTACCACGGCAAGGCCACGTGGCAGGGATTTGCTGTGTTTTAGGTGGTGCTCTAGGGCTTCGAAAGCTCTGCAACATTCACAAAGGCAAAAGACAGCCGACTCCACCGGTGACACAGATGGTGGATCAGACGGCGTATGTTGATAGCATGGCAGTCCCTCCGGATGTTGCATTGTGTCCCAACGTTGCACCAACACAGGTGTCTGCTGAAGTCGTTAGCATGTCAGACTGTCATCTGTCGCATGGGTGGCAAACAAGGTCCTCTGGTTTGCAAAGTTCGTGTGAGTGGGGGGCAGAGTCCGCAAGAGCGTCTGTCTTTAGCCAGGCAGGGTCCGCCCGTGCGTCTGCTAATGGCCCATCACACATTCCGCAAGTTGGAGGTCGCATCCAATCCAACACATGCCAACTCAACAGAAGCAGCGTTACCCGCAACAGCATGTGCAATGCTCCAGGTGCCCAGGTCTCAGGCGTAGAGGTGGAAGCCACAAACAAGGCAGAGTCCGCACATGCATTTGCACATGGCCAGTGTTCCGTCAAAATGACACAGCATGCTAAACAACAGCTGAGACGTGGTGAGGGGACAGGGTCCGCAAGAGCGTCTGTCTTGAGCCAGGCAGGGTCCGCCCGCGCGTCTGCTAATGGCCCACCACTCATCGTGCCACATGACGGGCGCATCCAGGCAAGCCCAAACACCGCAGTCTGCAACGGCACCAGCAAGGTTTCAGGAGGAGTAGAGGTGCAACTAATCGACAGGGTAGGGTCCGCACGTGCGTGTGTCCATAGCCCAAGTGGCTTTACAGCACAGATCGTTAATCACTGTAGGACTCCAGGTGCCGAGGTCTCAGGTGCAAATGTCCAGTTGACTGATATGGCAGGGTCCGCCCGTGCGTCTGCCTCACACGTCTTGTCA